GTTTGGGGTTTAAAATTCGGTTTATGGCTTCAATATTTCATTCGCACGTGTGGTAGTGTTGGGTCGTTCTTGAACGATTAGTTCGTTTTGAACGAATCTTTAATGTGATCAACGTTTGCGTAAGTAGTAGACATATTATGGAAGTAACACGTAACATTTTAATTATATTTTGTTAAAATGAACGAAATGACTCGAAAAAAGATTCGTTCATTTTGCTGAACGAGACTCAAAGGTCCGAGTCGGTAAAATGATCCGAACTTCCCATCACTAACGTGTGGGCGGCGCTGAAACGCTCCTTTCACAAGTCGCAGCAGCACGAATTATGTGCCCAGCAAAATCTGATTAAACTATTATGCGTAATTAAGTGTGAGTGGTGGTTTCAGACATTATACTGACTCTTATTCTGCCTGAAAGAATGAAAAGGCCGTACTGAAGGCGGAGCGATTCGACCAATCAGATGAAAGGAGCGTTTCAGCGCCGCCCACACGTGCGAATGAAATATTGAAGCCATAAACCGAATTTTAAACCCCAAACGAAAAATGTTAAACTAAACGGGAAAACGAATAAATGAGCCGTTTTTCCATTTCTCGTTATTGCATTCCAAATAGGAGATGAAATGATCAAACGTACACGGACCTTTTTGTTATAGCGCCCCCTATAGGTAGAATCTGATGGCGAGTGGGATTTCTGACCAATTTTGGCGTCTCTATGACTGACTGTCTCAGTTTTAGCTCGAAGAAGAAGAAAATCCTTACAAATACAACAGGGCTTGGACCGATGGAAGCCGTTTCCGCCACCGAATAAAAAATTAAAAAGTTAAGCGCGACTTTTTATCTCCCAATTCTGTTCTGAAAAAAAAGAGACTATTTTCTTACAATTGCGTGTTTATATCTGACAGTTCTGAGAAAAGAAGTCAGAATTGCGAGAATTGCGTGAGGTAAAAAGTCGCAATGACCTTTTTAGTTTTTTTATTCAGTGGCGGAAACGGGCTTCCATCTGGACCCCTAAAAACAACGGTTAACATTTTGCACTCAGTAAAGGGGATGTAAACTTATGACGGCAGCTGTACATCACACCGATCTGAGCACACTGAAGCGTGTGTGTGCGTGTGTGTGTGTTTGCGTGTGTGTGTGTGTGTGTGAGTGTGTGTGTGTGTGAGTGTGTGTGTGTGTGTGTGTAACACACACAGCAGCTCTGTTTCATTTCTGTCGTTGTTCTACATATTTAACTGTGCTTAGCTCTCATGTACTGACTGCTCACTAGTCTTTCATCATGTTTGAACTTTATATTTGTTGGGCTAGTAGTTTTTGCTGTGGTGTTGAAATTGGAATCGAGAATTCTAAAATGTATTTGGTGTCATATAAGCTTATCTATTAGAATCAAAAACTGTGATAACAGCAACTATTTTATTTTTTTGTGGCAGGCCAAGTAAATTATGAAAAAATATATAGAAATAGACGATTTTTTTGCCTTTTTATGTCAATTTCGAATTTTGATATCATACTTTTAACCTTGTATCATAATTTCAACTAAGTGTCATAATTTTGACTTTGTATCATAATTTTGACTATCATAATTTCGATTTTTGTCATAATTAACATTTTTGTCATAATTTCGACTTTTTATGTCATCATATTAAATTTTTGTATCATAATTTCGATTTAGTATGTCATAATTTAGATTTTTATGTCATAATTTTGACTATTTGTATCATAACTTAAGACTTTTTATGTCTTAATTATGATATATTATGATTAATGATATATATTTCGCCTTTTTTTCATGTCATAATTTGGCTTTGTACATCACATTTTAGACACAACGCTTCTGAAATACCATAACGTGGAGAAACGAGACGGAACATTATACTTTTGAAGAAGAATAAATGTGGACCAGAAACCCACAGAACTGATGTGACTTACTGTGTTTGCGTCCATTAATCATTCGTGTTGTTGTTAAACCAGATAAACGAGTATTTCTGATCAAATATGAACAATCTGACATCGATCTGATGAGAACGTTAAGGGCGCTCGTGACGCCTCATTTCACATTTAACTTTGTTTGTTTGTTTGTTTCTTTTAATTAGAGATGCCTCCATATTTGCTAGAAATAAAATATACACCACATAGCTAGCTAGAGAACAGTAGCCTCCCTTTTCTTCCGCTCTAAATACAATACAATTAAAACGATGAGATGGAAAAACTATATATTGTTTTGCTACTGACTGAACCTTGGATCAAGATCACATTTCGTCTGGATTCTTCTGTAGGGGGAAAAGAAGTTTAGCAACAGGTTAGGCTAACGTTACAGGACTACATTTCCCAGAATTCCCTTTCTCCTGCAGAAACGAGGGTGTCTTTAAAACTCGCTGTCGGCGTTAATTTCTCACATTGCACAATGTCACTGTCAAATAACGCGTGTTTTCATCTTTATTCGGTCGCTAGTCGCTGTTATAATCGACAGTTTAGTGCTGAGGAACTCAGTCAGGGCTTGTTTACACATGTGACGGGTGCCTGTGTCGAGCTCCTGACTGCTGGGTTTTCCACAGACATACATTCTAATTACATATAAAAGGTCATTTTTGTCTTCAGCAGGTGATATTTGTTGATATCGATGATATTGATTAGTTTGTGTCGGGTCAGCGCAGGCAGTCTGCTGGATACCTATTCAGCGAGGAGGGGCGGTGACCGAGAGCACATGCCTTCGTTCCGAGCTTCGCCATTGGTCATTCAGGGGGCCTTAGCGCGTATCCTACTGTCTGATTGGCGGACGCTGCTGTCCATCAGTGTCGGTCTGCGCTGGCGTATATAAGCGCGCGGGTCTGCTGTGCCACAGCACTCGTGAACGTCCGAGAGATCGAAATCTGTTTTTAATCATCACTGGTTTAGAGCACGTCTCATAATTACAGTATCTCTCGCGCACGGGCGGCTGTGTTTGTGCGCGGATGTGTGGCTTTATATAGTGTGCCATGTGAGGCATTTTAGGGTGATTTTCGCGTGCGTACTTACTCTCAGCGCAAGAAAGGCGAAGAAACGATCGCGTTTAGTAGTGTGTGTGTGTGTGTGTGTGTGTGTGTGTGTGTGTGGGGCTCACGTTTCTCTTGCATTATTCATGAGCAGCGGTGGATCCTCCCAGGGGCGGAGTTATTCAAAGTAGGCGTGGCGGTAATAGATGAGTGACAGATGTAACACGTGGGTCACATTAATGCACCTAAAACTGACTGTAGACAAGTACTTATGAAGTGTTAATGACATAGTAAGCAGAACTTGCTAACTAACTGGTGTTTTCTGCAGGATCCGTGCAGTCGTATTAGAGGCTGATGGATGTGGGCTGTGATGTCCGTTCAGAGTGAGCTTCGGGCCGCCGGTGGGGCGAGTTTGCACGCTCACCCTCAACCCGTCACTGTTCAGGATGAGGTGACCGCTAACATGGTGCTAACCGAACTCGCTGGCGACGTGGCGACTCTACATGTTGACCAGATGAAAAACGGCCTGCAGTCGCGAGTCGAGACGCAGAAACTGAGCAAGCGGCGCTACACCATGAGCGTGGGGTTCAAACACCCGAGCCTCAGTAAACGCAGGCGCCGCGCCAACTCCGAATGCAACCCGGTGCTGCCCACCAACTTCCTGCTGGGCGGGAACATCTTCGACCCGCTGAATCTCAACAGCCTATTGGACGAGGAGGTCAGTAAGGCGCTCAACGCCCAGACGCCCAAATCGTCGCCGCTTCCCAGCAAAAACAGAGACCCGGTGGAGATCCTGATTCCCAAAGACATCACCGACCCTCTGAATCTAAACGGGCGAGGCAGAGACGCGGCTGCGGGCGTGTTAGTGTCGCCCTTGAAGAGCAGGCGCAGACATCGCAACCGACACCATCCGGGAGCGACCGCTGAGCCTTCAGATGGTGAGAGGTCAAAGGTCGACGAGGGGTTGGCGTCGGGCCCGTTGTTTCCTGCCGATACTTCGGTGCCTGACAAGGTTGCGGACACCGCTGCTGCGCTAGAGGAGTCGCCGCATCCTTACAAACTCAACATGTCAATCAACTGCCGTGACGAAGTGGTGCCGCCCATCCTCCCGCGGCGACGGCCACGCCCCTCCTCGTCTAGCTCCGCCCCTCAGGTGCAGTCCAGCCAGCTGTCCAAACACAGGAAGCACAGACGAACCAACAGCCGTTCGGACCGCCTGTCCATCACGCCGACTCCGCCCATCAAG